ACACTTGCTAACTGACTTTTTTTGTTGTTTCATGTGAGCAACAAAGGATTGATTAGGGAGAAAGATGGCAAGGGAAACTGTGGCATGGCTCGGAGTGGAAACTTGAAGGCTAGAAGCATGAAGAATGAAAAATATGCATAGGAATTTGTGATTAGGCCATGGAATGAATATCCTTGTAACATTAGGAAGTAATTTTTGGAATTTAGGACTTTGAATGCCACTTTTTTAACTCAATTGACAAATCTTTAAACAATTTGGAATAAATATGAAGTTTTGTAATCATTTTCTTTTGTAATACATTTTGATAAATCTTTAGACCATTTGGAACTAGTATGAAGCTTTGTAGTCTTTTAAGATCTATTAATCTCAAATGGAAAACTCTTCATTTTTGAATTTTAATTCCAAATGGATATGGCAATGTGATTCGGTTTCTTAAATTTGAAGTAATAAGTCAAGCTTTGAGATAAAATAAATCCCATATTTATAGTTGAAAAGAAACAAAATTGAACTCTTTCACACTTGCACCAAGTCTAAAACTCTTTTGTTTTCCAAATTTGAGCTAAAAAATCTTGATGTCCATTATGCGATTGAATTCGATCACTTCTACTTTCCAAACAAACATTTGAATGCCCACTTAAAGTGATGATGCCTTAAATAATTGTCAACAAAAACAAACCAAAAGATGAGCAAACTCCGATCTCAAATCCAAATTCGGTTAACTTTCTTCATGAGCAAACAATGTATCATCAAAGAGTCCTCAAACTCAACATCATGAATCAAAACCCTAATTCAAGATAAACTCAAATGTAGACCTTAATATTGTGTAACCATTGAAACATGAACCCTGATCTTAACAGGTGTCACACCTCCAAAAGTCAAAACCCTAGTACAAAACCAAAGGATAGGAAAAATATGATTCTCTTTTGACACACTTGTAAACCTGAATCCTTGATGAAACAAAGAATTCAATTGACGTATCTTGAAGCCCGAGAAGGCTTGAATAGTTGCAAAAACCCTAGGAAAATATCTTAAAGAAAAGGGAGGGTAAATTTTGGGGTACACCAGATACACACCGACACTAAAATGACAAAGACAAGGGCGCTCATTGAGGGCCATAATCCATATTTCATCTTACATCTATCTCAAAACCTCTAGAGAAAATATTTTACAAGAATGCACAAATATAGAATTCAAAGAGGTTGTAGTAAGATACCTAATTTCATCAAAGAATTTGCTAACACTACTACAAAAAAATGCTTTTAACGTCTGAAGCGCCTCTAAAAAATACAACAATGAAGTCACCGCTAAACTTTATTTATCCCAAAGAGGGAAAGGAAAATATCAAGATAACCTCTAAGATGGGAAAGAACATGGTCTTGCGACCAAGAGAAAGGGTACGAAAGTCAATTATGCAAGGGTAAGGTATTAGTGTAACACCCCTTTTCTAACTCCAAGCAATTTAAAATAATATCAGAGTAAGATAGCATGTATAATATCAAAAGGGCGTCACATGTCATTTTCCAAAACATAGAAAACCAACCAACAATCATCAACATACACCTGGTCATAATCATAACACATATTTAAACTTCATGTTTCCACAAACTATGCACATCACAGTGGAATAACTCTTTACTCAATTAATAATAATGATTATATCACATACTATAATCATAAGCCAACATAACAACTAATTCATAACATAACATGTTATATGAATCTAAATATTGGGCACCAAGGCCACTCAACATACAAATAACAAATACGAGGGTAAAACAATATCTCTCAACAACAAACATGAGTTCAAAATATCCCCCAGTGTTATATGACCAGAGCATTGACTCACTACCTAAATAAGTGAATAGACCAAACTAAGCTCCTCAATTATCCTCGTGTGAAGCATCACTATCTTCAGTACCTACGCGATATCACATAGAACATCGTTCTAATAGAAGGGTGAGAATTCAAATCATTATGGAAATATATATAATACAGAGTAATGCATAACAACATTCATAAAAATAATTTTACACACTTCATATGATCATCCATACAACATAGCTTGACAATTCAACTATCAAAGAACTCAATATAGAAACATTACAAGTATATGAGTACACGTATTGCTCGCATATAGAAAAAATACCACCAACGTAACATTCAGGTACAATTTACCAATTATCACATAATGTAATTCAAAACAATATCATATAATGACTCATGAGACTTTCAATGCAACTCAATGCGACTCATGCATGTCGTACAAACGTGAACATCAAACTCACCTCACTCTCGATTCCATATTTTGAATAAGCCACGCTTCTGATTCGGACAAGATCAAAGCCCATCATTGTGAACATATAGTCCACCGCTTCTATTTCCACACAAGGATCAAAGCAACCAACCGGAGTTCAATCTCACCATGAATGCATGTGCAATTTCCAATGAACATATACAATTAAGACCATCACACAATCTTAATCATCCAAGTGTATCACAATAATTCAACGCATTAAATTATCCACCAACAATTTCATAAAACACCATGTATCATATAAGCCAACCAATGTCATTTTCATCAATCACTAAAATACAACATACATATACTAAACTTAAGTATCATGTATTCATAAAAACGCCTCCAAAACCAATCCAAAATACATCAAATAAATTATTAAAATTCATGTAAACTAATAATAAATCATAAGTATGAAAACCCCTAAGCTATTCATACAAAATTAGAAAACTTTGTGTCCATCCACCCGCTCTAAGCGGCCCTACCCGCGCTAAGCGTGCTTCACATTATGCAGAAAAATCTATTGCGAACATCTACTGACTTGTGCACGAAAATCACCATAGAAATATGTTATAATGCTCATTTTTCACCAAGTAAACATATTCTAGCATGTATATATCATAGGGAACCTATTTGTATCACAAAAACTAGATTTCAACAACCTAATTTCTAAATCCCTAAATCAAATTGGGTGAATCAAAACCTAGAAATTAACATACTCAATCCTATTTCATGTTACTAATCATTACCCAATCATATACAAACCCATAATAACAAGGATTCTCCCCATACCTTGATTGTAGCAACCTTAGTATTCTTCCTCCTCCTTCTCTTCTTTTCTCCTTTTTTCCTCTTTTCTTCCCTTCTCTTTTTTTCACAAAAAAAAAGAGGATTCTAATATTTGTTTTCACATAACCCTTACTAACTATTGTTTCTCTTATTGGGCTTAGCAACTCACACCCCCTTATTACTTCTATTTCTCATAATTAGGCCCAATTGGTTATTTCATTCATTAATACATCTAATAACTCAATTATTCAAATAACACATATATTCAAATAATTAAATAATTATCATGCCACATAATAATTTAATAAATAAACAACTAGTAAAATAGCTAATAGAAAATCAGGATGTTACAATTAGCATCTCTCATGTTCGTGGTACACTATGAAATCCACTCTTTTTGTTCTAATCAAATGGTGTGTATATCTAAGAACTTATTTGCTAAAGGAAATGTATGAATGAAACTATTAAGGGAAAAACAAAAGGTTTTTATTAATGTGTTCGCCTCAGTTGTGAAACCTCGTGCCTATGTATCCCTAAGGAATCAAAACACTATAGTTCTTCTAAAAAATGTTTGTTTTGTATTTTTATGACAGATGCTAAGTTCAGATTCTAACAGTTGACGTTTACCGCTCGTCCTTTGGAGACTCACGCATTGTTGTTGTGTGTAGAAAGGAATTAACATGTCCTTTTTGAAAAGGTTTTAAAGAAAAAAAAGGACCTAAGGCAAAATGATTTGGATTTGTTGGAGTGTTTTTGTTAGGAGAAATATCTTAAGCGGTTCCCTTAAGCAGGGGATACTTAAGTCTTTCTTTTCTTAATTTTGAAAAGGGTTTGAGAAGTATTAAGTATTTTTGGATTTTTTTTAATTATGGAAAGAAATTTTTGTTTTAACAGGAAAGGATACAAAAGAAAAGTCTAAGAGGAGGCTCAATCCTAATTGTTGTCATGCAAAGATGATCCTAAAGTTGATATTTCAATGGGGAAATTTTATCCTAAAGTTAACATGCAAAGATTTCGATCCTGAGGTCTAACTTAATATAAAACGACTAAACATATGTTAGAATCAAACACAAAAACAATAAAGGATAAAAGAAGATAAAAGTATAATATTTTAAAGATTTTTATGAGTTAAAGCATTTTTTGGTAAATGACATGTATACATGTATGATGAATGCAATTTATAGGGAGAACTTGAAATATGTACAAGTCAAATAGTTTAATTAAACTAAAAACTAACCTAATTAAAAGTAAAATATGTTTTTTTTGCATTTTATATGTTTTTTTAATTGTTTTTGGTATTATGTTTTTTTAGCAAACAAATAAACCAACTAAATTACCTAATGCTAAGTTAAATGGAGTATTAAGAGGGGTGAAGATGATAGAATAGTGTATTAATAACCAAGCAAAAGGGCCTAAGACCCCATTAAGAAACCCTAATTTACAAACAATTGAAATTAAAATAAATAATCAATTTAATAAAATAAAAAAATAAAATGAGGACATTGCAGATAGGAATGCTCCCTCCTCCATGTTACTCTCCATTATTCAGTCAACTTACCCATTCAAATTAACACCAACCCCAGTTATAACATGACATGTGGCCGTATTTAAATAATAATAAAAAAATTAAAACAAAAAATCCAGGAGATAACAATACATGTGTCAGAGTCAGAACATCAAATCATAAACCCAAATTTTCCTTTTCACGAGTTCTCTTTTCCCATCCATTATCTTTCAATTTTTCACTCTTTCAATTCCACACACAAGATCAACAATGGATAAAGTAAAAAAAATAGCAACTAAACAAATATTCAACATCAAAACTTCAAGATATTGAAACCCACCAACCTGATATTGACGATGGAATCTATGCGTGTTGGAGGAGGAGATCCTCTGAGGGAGGTTCCACCGAAACATGGTCGACTCCGGTTGTAAGATATGCGGTGGTGAGATGGCATCGACGTGTGCGTCGCGCCGGTGTCGGTGTTACAGTGAAGCTGTTACCAGCGCAGAAGGTGGATACAGTCAGGCTGAAGGCGGCCACGTTGCTGGTTGTGTACGAATGGTTGTGCTCGCGATGGAGACTTCATATTTTTCTTTTATTTTTTTCTACTGATATGCTTGTTTTTGTTTGTGTTCTATCAATGTTGTTTTAACTTTACAGTTTGTGTTGTTCATGAAGTATGGATTTTGCAGGTTTGGTGTTTGGACCATGGGATGTTAGGTTATGGTGGAGTTATATTATGATTGAATAATAGATGACTATTATGGTAAGGCTGATGATGGTGAGGATTGAAAGTAGTAATGGTTTGGTGGGGTTAAGTTAGAAAGTTTGAAGGATAGTTTGTTCAATGGAGTTACACATTGGTGTGGTGTATATCAGTGTGTTATGTGGGAAAAGGTGAGTTGAAGGTTTCGTGAGTGTGTTAATGGTTGGGTTACATATTGTGTTTCCTACAGCGAGTATAAGTGAGGTATTGATAGAGGTTAAAGTAGTTTGAGGACTGCAATGTCATTTTGTTATCATTTTCTCTCCTTTGATGGTGGCTGCCCCATTTGTGTAGAATGTGTTGGTTTATATAGGCTCGGGATTAGGGTGAGTTTGAGAGGAATTGGAGGGAGTTTTTGAGCCATAAAGTGGTGAATTAAAAGTAATTTCATACTAATTTGTTGTTTTTTCTTGATGCATGAATGTTTAGCTACTTTGGGCAATTTTTGGACAGCATGGTTAAAGTGGAAAGCAGGAGGTTTTTTTTTAAATATTTTGTACTGATTTGGCTTAAATAATGATGGAATTTGGAGCTTGAAATTTTTGTTTAGCATGAATGCTAGTAAATGAGTTTTATACTTATGAATTTGAATGTAACTTGTGATTTTTCTTGGAGGTATCTTGAAATTGAACAATAGAACTTGAATATGAAAGATGTAACTTGCAATTTAAATTCTTGTTCTTAAAATTTGCCATGAATTTCTTGTAATATTTGATGTAGATTAGGCATTTGGGAAATAGACTTGAACCAAACTTGTAACTTGTTTTCGAATATGATGAATGAAACTAGTGTGAAATCTTGGAAATTCAAACTTGTGAACTTGGAAATTCTTAAATCATGAATGATATTTTGAACTTTGAAGAAACTTGAATATAGCTTGAATTTGCATAAATTTCCTTGAACTTAATACTTGCATCTTGTTTTCCAAGTAAGTCATGAACCTTCCAACCTTTGCTTGAATCAAATTCTTAAGAACTTGATATCACTTGATTAACTTGGAACTCAAATGGCAAGTTTCCAAATAATCGTTTCTTTAATATTGAACTTGAAATTTCAAATATTCTCTTTTACAATTGCAACTTGGATGAACCTTGTAATGCCTTGACTTTTTACATGTCTATTAAGTGAATGAATGAGCCTTGAATTTGTAACTCAACTCCCAAGAAATACAATTACACTTCTCTCCATCTTCAAATCCACAAGCAACCTATATGACAAGCCATGAGCAATAAGTAATTGGGATGGAAACAATGTCTTGAATGCCATGATTCCACCACCTCATCTTTTGTACCATAACTCAGTACTTTTTCCCCATAATCCTTAAACATATCTTGATTTGGTGCGCTCACAGTGGAAATTCCTTAAAGATCTCTTGGAGATGAATGATAAAGCTTGAAGTAAAGAAATGAATACATCAATAGAAAACCTTAGGTCCATTGAACCTTAATTAAAGAACCATCATCAAGCTCAAGCATAATGATCAGTGAACCCTATTCTTTTGACAATCATAAGGAAATAAACCCTAATCCAATGAAACTCAATTAAAATCAATGACGAACCCTTAAGCACATACAAGTGATAACCCTAACATCTTGCTTCTTGATAAATATTGATGAAAGATAGCCTTGTAGCATGTCAAAGAAGATGTTCATAATAACCATGAATCCAAATCCTAATTACATAGCCCACTACTTAAGAGAGGAACCAGCTGAAGCAGTTTTTATTGATGAAGAAACCTCAAACCAATAGAACCCTAATTTGCACAAACACTGCTTATTTTGAACCAGGGTGCATTATTGAATGAATGAGTGTTATGCAGATGAATCTAGTTGAGTGATGCAAATGATATGAGAAACATAAGTCAAACTAAAGTAAAATCAGGAGGGTAAATTTTAAGGTGCAATAACGTCAGACGCAAAAAAAGTGTTTTACCTCGGCTAAAGAAGCGAGATAACAAAGGTCATCATGAAAAGTTGCCACTTGTCACCTTGGTGATTTAAAAACCGAGAGGTAAATTTATTTGCGCATGGGTTCGAACCCCAGCGTCTGCACTTTTATTATTTACAAAACTAGTGTCTCAACCATCTCAGTTAAACAATAAAACCAATGGATAAGTTAAATTGTTTTTTTAATTTAAATGTGTTATATTGTTTACACATAAAATTAATAAAATAATTTTTTTACAAACAACAATGTTTACCAAAAATATTAAATTGTTTACACAGAATAATAAAATAAAAATTAATTTGTCCATGAATATCATATGTTGAATCTTCAAATCCTTGATATCCTAGGGAAGATCAAATGCTGGGTTCTAAAATATTTTCAATTAATTTTCCTTGCATTTGTTTTCGATGTGAACAAAAAATGGTTAGACAAAAAATGGTTAGACAAAAAAATGGTTAGATAAATAAATGATTTTCTGCTGAAATAAATAATTAAGAACACAAACCTTATATCCAAATAATTTTCTGCTCTTGCAATCCATCATATAAAACTCTTCATGGCAAAAAAATCTTGCAAACCTTAAAGTGGAGGATAGCTTCATGACGTTTCATTATCAATTTTTGATGTTTAGAATACTTTTATAATAGAAGTTATTTATGTTTCACGCGGATCACTAATGATAGTGTCTTAAGCATTGATAACCATGAAATGAACGTCAAGGATTTGAGTACAAAATGGTGATAAATATCCTTAATTTTTAACGCTAAGTTATCCCCTTGGTTATTATAAAAATCGACATGATAGACCATTTAATTTACAAATAAAAAATATAATAAAAAGAGAGGTTCCAATATTGTTTTTCCCCTCGATTATGTTAAACTCTGAGTTAAGATGTGTAAGAACAAGAAGTGTTTCTACATATGGCCTTAAGATTTTGATAATAACTTTACATGTTATCTTTATGAATAATTGTATACGCTAATGGTTTGTTCTAGTGTGTAGTTACTGCTATAATATTCTGACTCTAGTATCAAGGCGTGTGACGTCATCATGTTCTGAATATACACTACTGGAAGAAAACATGTGGTTACGTGTTACAATTGAAGTCAAGATTCTGAATACGTCATCTGCAACATGTCTTAGGAACGTTAGTACAAGAGGTTCTGATCGTGACTTTATGGTTAAGCTTTAGAGGCCTTCTAAAGCTTTACTTTGTATGTTACAAGTTCTGAAGATTATGAAGATGAGGTTCTGCTGAACAAGTTCTGATGATTTAAAGACAAGAAAGTTCTTACAACCAAGTGCTGAAGACTCTGAAGACAAGGTTCTGATAGGACAAGTTTTGAAGACTCCAAGACTTAGGTTCTAATACTTAAGAGTGATTCTTCTACAACAAGCTTCAACATTTGAATTATCTGAAGCCTCTGAAGATAAGAAGAAGTTCAAAATGGTTAACGTGCGATGGTGTACACAAGGTACATAAAGTGTATGTGACCTCTACCCTCTAGGGTGGCGTAAGGACAATCTTTTTGTACTATATTGTCAACCACTCTCATTATGACCGTTGGGAAAAACAGCTGGATTTCCAGCTATCTTTCTTTACTCAACGGATCTCTGTTTACAAGCTTATTAGAAAAATATTATTTAGAGATAAAAGGTGAAAAGATATCATTGAACAGTGGTAGGATACAAAAACTATTATTTTATATTGTCTAACTCTTTCACCTTATTTTATCTGTTGGAACTAACCGTTGGTGCAGGAAAGGACTTTTCTATCCTTATAACGTTTCTCTCTGAAGGCTATAAAAGAATATCAAAGATTTAAAGAAAGTGTGTTGATGCCTACGCTAAAGCCGAATCTGAAATGCTAATAGATGTTGGTCATCAAGCTTAAACGCCGTGGGTGCTGAAGATGTAAAAGTTGCAATGCTAAACATTCTGATGACCATTATACAGAAATGAGAGAAAAGAAAGAAATATAAAGAAGAAGACTACAAGATGTTAGTCAAGTTCTAATCAAATACACCTTGGTAGATATCATAAGAAGCAAGGATTTATTGCTAGTAACTTAATCAACAAGAAGATAAAGAAGAACAACACTATAATATGCTACTCAACTTCTAATCATATACATCTTGATAGAATATTGTAATGAACACATGAGTTGTTTCTCTTATTGTGTTTCTGTTTGAATCTCTTCATGTAAATTGTTTTAACACTAGAGTTGTTGCTCAAAGATGTGTTAAACTATATGTGCTTAAAACACTTGTGTAATTTGCTTAGAAGAAGCAATAATGTAAACACATGAACCTCATTAATTGTTGTTGATTAGTTCCTTGAGAGACTGAGTGAAGGTATGATCTCAAGAAGACAATGGATGTTAGTCGTTGTAGGAAATACGAATAGAGAATTTTGAGGGTGTTGTACCCCAAAATTTGCCCTCCCATATTCTTCAAAGTTTGTCAAGAATCACCTTCAATTGGTTCAAGAATTGCTCAAGGGTTGCACAGTCAAACCCTCTCCTAAGCCAGTCAAAATTAGGGTTTTGGTTCTTTCAAGGAACTTGAGGTTTTCAATGGCTCAATCAAGTCCCATAGGCCTATACATATCCTCAAGCATCTACATGCCAAGTTTCAAGGTTCACAATGCCAATTTACACAGTCAAAAGCTTCATTTGCTTCACAATCAACTGCAGGGGTAAAATGGTCATTTTACAGTCAAAAGTCGGAATTTTTGGTCAACATCTTATTTTTAGCACACAATCATCATTTGATCAAGTCTTGATCATGATTCCACAAGCATGGCTCAAAAATCATCAAGGTGCAAAAAGTTACTATTTTTGGACAGTAGAAAAGTCAACTGTATCTTGACCAAGGCATAACTTTTTCATGGTTCATTAGAAAAATCCAATCCAATGCTCATTTTGAAGGGGATGACATTTAATACAACTCATCTTCACATTCCAAGTCCATGAAATGCTCTCACAAAAAGTTATCAATTTCTACATTATAGGTCAAATTCAAAAGTCAACAAAAATGCACTTTAAGTCAAAGGCCATAACTTGAGATTGGTAAATACAAATGACATAGAACCAAAGGCATTGGTTAGAGGACTTCAAGACCTTTCCAAAATGTCCAAGAACATGTTCATATGATCAAAATTGAGCAAGATATGCATTGGAGAAGTTGGGAAATTTTTGTGAATGTGCAAAAGTCAACTTTGCTCAAAACACCTCATTTTTGCTAATGGGCCTCAAATTTCTTCTTGAAACTTTATCCAAGGCTTATGCACGACCCATTGAGATTATTTGAATTTATTTTCTTATTTTTTATTAATTAATTGGATTTTTATTAATATTAATTCATTTAATCGATTTAAAATGTAGGAAATTCCAAGATATGGTTTCCAAATCTTTTTGTGAAGCAAGAATAACCTAATCAAGCTGGCAAATTCGTGTATCAATCAAGGATATCAAAATCTCCAAGTTTGGCAAGTTTTCTCAATCAAAAAGATGCAAAAAGATGTGATTGAAAATCAAATATTGAAACTATTATTCCATGGATTTCTTGGCCAAGATTTAACCTAATTCAGCTCTACTATAAGTACACAACCTAAACCTAATGCATTGGACGGGAAATCTCTGCAGAAAAACCATAATCACATTCA